CCCCCGCCCCCGCCCCCGTCCCCGCCGCCCCCCCCGCCGCTGACCGGTGGCGGGCAGAGCTTCCCGAACAGCCATCGCTTGGCCGCTGCCGCTAACCGGCAGCGAGTAACTCTCCCTGGCTAACCCCGGCCGCTGCCGCCGCTGCCCCGTCCCGATACTCTTGCCGAGCACGGGAATGTACTCCGGTGATGTCGTGCATCACTCGTATCTGCATATGTCACATGAGTGAGGTCGGAGGCAAGGCGTTAACAAAACGTTCTACTTCCGTGGGCAGTCTCGTCGCTGTAACTGAGGCCTCAAGAGAGGGAAGAAGGCAGGCTGACTCAAGATCTTGAACTGATGAAGGAGTTTAACAAGTGACACAGCATGCAGCCTGTTCGAGCGCTTGTACTTCAAGAACGACTAAATAGCACCGCATGGGTATGGCTTTGATGCCGTATTTTGTATTTTGAAGGCGTTGCAAAGGATACTATAATAATACGGTGAGGAACGCAGCTTGAGCGTGTGTATGTGGAGGATAGTAAATCACTCTGTGCGTACGTATACTTTACCAAAACCTCGCCACAATCGCCAACGACAGCGTACAGCTGTTGGTGTACTGCGCGTTCTGTCTTTCTTTCTGGGGGAGGGGCGTGTCACATACCACATGTTCCCCGTACACGGATACCGGGTGCCGAGCACCCCAACCATATCCCCATGCACAAATATTTATTGCCTCATTACTTGACACCTCTACTTGGAACGCCTTCACCCATCTGACACATACCTTTCCGTTATCATGTCTTCTTCGGTGCTCTGCTCACATCTTGACTATCGTAGATCCGGTGAGGAAGTCGTCCCCGATACCCCTGGAGGTAGACAACCCTCTTCGTCAGGCACGATGAGCAAAATTATTCTGACGCCCATCCCTGCTGCATCATCTGAAATCTGAGGGGGCACATGAGAGAAACGAACATACATACACATCAACAAGTGCAAGTGTTCAGTGTTATCGCTAGCGCGCTAGAGTTGCTCCTGCATGATATGAGCTATCAAACTTCCTATTGTACCCCCATCAACCCCCACAACAAACAAGTCTTCTTTTTCTGCGCATCTCGTCTCGTCAAAGTGGTTCATGAGAGATAAGGTGGGCGCCAGTTCTTCTCTGGCACAGGAACAAGCGAGACGACGCAGCCGACATCAACAAATGTGACGCGAGCCGTAGATCTTGAGGGCGGCGGCGCTCTAAATAGTGACAGCTACGATTTTCAGCTGACGATTATGAGTGTTATCAAGAGCAAGAAGTACACACCCAGATGCCTAGGGCCTACCAGACAGACATCCATTTCGCAAGTACATGAAAAATAACCGATCGTATTCTTGGCTTGCCCCGCTTGTCCCGACCCTCTCTTACAACGCGTAGCCGCTACCATCCGTACATGGTGTCGGTTGTGGTTTATGCTGCTAATCATGGGTGTCGTGGATGAATATTGTACATGCACTTATTTCTACGATGAAAGTGTCCAGGAGGAGTTTTATCATCTGCTGTAGGTACCACTGCGAAAAAAACATAAATTTGCTCTTGCTTACCTGGAAGCTTGTCGAGGGTCAATTTTCTTCAAGGAGACCACCCGTGACTTTTGTACAGCAGTAGTGCTGTCGATGGTCCGGCTGCTCCCAAGCTTGCCCACAGCAATGGATGAAGCACGTATGTTCGTTCCGAACGCCTCACGCTGCTGCTCACCCTTTCTGCTCTGTGGGCGACGGCACCAAGTAAGTGGGCGGATGTGGACACTCCCTTGCAGAAGAAGCCCATCTCCCTTGCAGTAGATTGGCACCAGTCAGAGCGTCCGGCAGCCTTTCGTAGTTACCATGCTGCTCTTGAGCTGTCTCCATCAGACTTGCTGTGGGGTATACTCTGGGCACCTTCCTCCCAACTGTCAAGATAATTCAGCTCGTTTTGGGGCGAAACCCGCCGCGTTTCTGGGCGCGCTGTGTACATTTTGCTGGCCTTCACAACACTTAAAGCAAGTCATTGGGGTCTGGGAATATTCAGTTCGTTTCTGAGGTGCCCCGCAGAATATGCAGTTCTATGTGCCAGCCGGGGAGGGTTTATACACAATGTGGAATATCTCGCGAAGTTTAGTTTTGAGGGAAAATCGGAAAAAAACGCCATCTGCTGAATTTCGAGAGGAATCTCTTGCCGCACTCTATCAAAAATAGTGAAGTTGGTTCTCGCAGGAGAAGTTAAGCAAATCACCCTCCCACATCCAGTTATTGGGGCATTTCTCGCGGAATTTAATTTTTAGGAAAAATCTGAAAAAAAGCGCCATCTGCGGAATTTCGAGAGGAATCGTTTGCCGCACTCTATTCTAAAATTGTGGAGTTGATTCTCGCAGGAGATATTGAGCAAAAATATCCGGTTGTTTGGTGGTGAAAGACGAAGGGCAACCCCCCCCCAAAAAGTCGATCAACAGACTTGAGCGCGTGGAGACGGGGCGTTATACGATACTCCTTTTCGTATGTCCTTTGTATTGCCTTCGGCCTCTGTGCTGTGTTTCTTTTTTCTCATGTCCTCCCTGCCTACTCTGCCGTGTTGGGTACCTTGATCTCGCTTTTGCTGTTGCTTTTGTTTTTATACACTTGGCTGTCTGTCCATCTGCCGCCTCTTTGTTCTGTTGGCCCCGTTGCTTCCATGCCCTGGTGCGTAATGCCTGGTGCTGGTACGTTACCCTTTGATTTTTTCTCTAGGTGGGTGTGGGAAGCGTCCTCCTTTATGGTTGTTTTTGTTTTATTTTGATCGGTTTCCGAGGGCTCCGACCGGTCGCTGCGGTATGTTCCTTTCTTCCTATCATTTTGTTTTCTTTTTCCGAGTGGTTTGTACCCTATTTTTGTTTTTGTTTCCCCGTGGCGTCGTACGTGCCGGGTTTTGAGACCACGGGCTCTCCATTTTTGTGGACTATAGAGCTAATGTGAGAAACAACAACAACGGTGTTTTTGAAATTTCGAACAAACTCCCCTACCCCGAGAAGTACACCTAAGTGCAGGTCGGCAAAGTGGCGTGGAAGCCCCAAACGGACCATATCGACGTTCAAAATCCTCTCTGTGCATTTTTCTTTTAGCGGAAACAACTACCGCTGTAGAAAGTAGAACACCTTTTATGCGTTCGAGGGTATCGAAGATTTTTTTTTTTGTATTTAGTATATTAGTATGTAGGGATGGAGTACATACAACAGCATGTGACGAGCTCTAGGGGGCACAACAGCAGCAGGGTTATGCTGAAAAATGGCCCGCTTGCAAACTTTTTCCTGCTACCCAATATCTACATCTCCTGGAATGTCAAATTGGACATTGTTTCTGTAGACTGTGCACTTGTACGGAAGGCTGCGAAATCGACGAAGACGGTAATGAGGTTTGGTTTATTGGCACAGAACGTACAAGATCAACTGATGTGTGTACGTGACCCTCTGGCGACGAAAGCCCGCCCTCTCTTCCGCCCCTCTCCCCCTTGCTCCGCCGTTCCCTCGTAAGCAACAAAAGCCACAGTCGCGCGGACCCTCAGCATCACCGCCTCCGCCGACACCACCACCGCCCTCCACTGCCTCAGCCACCCGCGGGTTTTTTTCGGCGGTTCTCCCTCCTTCCGACGACGACAACAAGCCCCGGAAGCCACCGGCGCCGAAGCCGCCGCGGCGGCCACCGGCCGACTTCACGGAGGCCTTCTCCGGGCTGCGCGTCAGGAACAGGCTCCTCTCCGCCGAGGACATGCGCGTCCGCATGAGGGGCCGCAAGGTGCACCGCCTCGACTCCCTGCGGACGGTCCCGCCGAGGGCCCTCGAGAGCCAGGACCCGGCCGACGCGTGGGCGGCCGTCGGCGTCCTCGTGTCCAAATCACCCCGGCGGCAGGCCGCCAACGGCGGGAGCTTTTCCGTCTGGACGCTGAGCGACCTGTCCCGCAGGGAGAACGAAGTGTCCCTCTTCCTCTTCCAGGAAGCGCTGGGCTCGCACTGGACCGTGTGCGAGGGGACGCTGATCGCCGTGGTTGGCGCCAAGGTGTTGCCGGACAAGGGCGGCGACGGCGGGAACGCTCCTCAGAGGCTGGCGTTCTCGGTGGATTCTCCCTGGCAGGTGGGGTGCGGTGTCTCGACGGCGGGGGGGCGTTGGGTATGTGGTATGTGTTGATAAGTTCCACGAGGGGGTGGTTATGCGAGCGCACGTGAAAGGCGAGACATAGAAATCCAGCATATCGCCTACCTCCGCCGCAGAAATAGAGGTGTTGTTATGTTGAGCACAGCTGTAAAATCCCCGAAGCAACAGGTCCACGGTTGCCCAGCAGGGGGTAGAAAACCGTGTTTTCGCCATCGTTCAAGCAATAGCAGCATACCCTAGGTTAACATATATCATATGCCATACATATGTCGTGAAGTTTCTGGCTCGCAGCATACCAAATATATATCCCGGGCGAAGACCTCTGAATAAGACGTAACACCAGTAAACACGCGACGTTTTGGTGCCTGTGAAAAAACGAATCGGCGAGCCAGGTGAACAGGATAGGCATGTCGATGGACTATGGCCTCTGCAAGGGCAAGCGGAAGGACGGCAAGCCGTGCACCATGCCCGTCAACAAGACGGAGGGAGGCGGGTTCTGCGAGTTCCACGTCGTGGCGGCCTTCAACAGGGCGCAGCGCAAGGCGCCCGTGGGGAACAAAACCAAGGGGAACACTCAACAACCGGCACTCAGCATGTCCGCGAAGCTTGGCGCATCAGGTAAACGTTTCGTCCGCGTGATGGGTGGGCAAGGCTCCATGCAGCCAGCCACCCCGGTGCGCCAAGAGGGATCTACTTCACTGCCGAGACTCGGAATCGAAATCTATCGGTGGCAATAACATGTAGAGGACCCGGCCTGCTGGGCCGAAGCGGCCGGCGCGATTCAGGTCTTAGTAGTGCCGTCCGTGTGCGGCAGTTGTTACCGCCGCGTCGTATCCAGAGAGTTCATTAAAGAGTATCTCACCAGGCGTCGTTCGGAAAGTCCGCGTGGCCTCACTTCCGAATGCCACCGCTGTTGCTTCGCGCTCGCCCTCTGCTTCCGGGTCCCGAAAGTCCGTCAACAGCAACAACAACAACAACAACAACAACGCCCCTTTCAAAGCCGCGCGGGCTTGCCATCGAGGTCGACTATGCCGGGGCAACGGGCGCAGCAAGGACCCCCGCCGCGAGCCGCGCCCGCACCCACACTGTCAAGCATCCTAGGGGCAGGGGCGAGAAGGAGAGAGGGAGTCGGAGCCACCCGAACCTTCGGGAGCAGCAGCAGCAGCAGCACTGGCGGCGGTGGCCCGTCGACCGTCCACGCTAAGGCCCTGCGCCCGTCGGCGATGCGCGCGTCCGGCCGCACGACGACGCTCTCTTCACCGCCTCCCGGTCTCCCTGGCGGCGGCGGCGGCGGCAGTGCCAGCCGCGGCGGTACCACCCTGCCTCGTTCTTCTTCCTCCTCCTCCTTGTCGTCGTCGGCAGGCCTCTTGAGCAAGTCGGTGGCGGCGGCGGCAAGCGCTGGTCGCGATGGCAATGGCAACGGCGCCGGTTGGTCGGGTAACCGAGGTGCTGTCGGGGCGGCGACCGCAGGGGCGGCGACCGCCGGTGGAGGCAGCGAGGACCTCCTGAAGTTGCCGTGGGCATACGGCGACGGCAAGAAACCCAACAACAGCAGCAGCCGCATCAGTAGTAGCGCCTCCTCTGGGGGCGGCGGCGGCGGTGGCAGCGGCGCGCCCGGGCCGCTCTCCACCGGGAAGAAGAGGAAGGTTGAGGGGCGAGGCGACGAGGAAGGTGCGCTAGGAAAAGACGCGAGGCCGCCCAAGGAGGCGCACCCGGCGGGGTACATGAGCGGTTCAGTTGCCGTGCCCGCGGAGTCCCCGGTGTTCCTGCAGATGCCTCAGAGGTGTCCCGTGCGCCAGGACGGGACCAGATCGGCCGAGGGCGAGAAGATGCTCGCCGACGCACAGGTTCGGTTCGTTCGTCGGTTATTTTTTTGACCGTCTCCACACCGGGGCCAGTAGGCGATCGCGTGTCCCGACGGCACGTCTCGTGTTGCATTACCTGTCGGTGCGTGTTTACCTTAATCCGTGGGGTGGGGGGGTGATGAGCGTCGTGATGCTCCTTCTGGTTCGTGTGTATTCTGGGAGGTTGAGGTAGTACCTGCTTTTCCCCAAAGCAAGCAAGCCCCCGCCCCTTGTGAAGGTTGTGAGCCTCGCCAAAAAAAAAATACAAACGCCACAATGAAAGACGATCCCGCGACTTACGTGCGCCCCATCGCCGCGCTCAAACGTAGGTGTTGATGAGGCAGCGCGCTCTCAAGCAAAAGGCAGACCAGCGAGGCCTGCTCCTTCGGCCCCAAGACCCAAACTCCGCGAGCAGCATCGGCAAGAAGAGCAGCGGCAAGCCGTCGGGTCTCCGGGCCGGAAGCAACAAGCGCCAGTCGGCAAGACCTGGCGCGAACCCCCTTCTCGCAGCAGGCGGCAGGGGCGGCGACAGCGGGGACCCGCTCGCCAAGAAGGTCAAGGTGAGGTTAGACGAAAAGAGCTACTCCATCCTGTGGGGTCGATGCGGATGGGAGGGGGAGGAGGGAAGTCGACGGCGAGGCAACACGGGTGTAAGAAAACGGCAGGATGTTGACTGGGGATACCGATGCCGGCAAAGAGCCTACGGTTCTGTTGCATGTCAGTGCTACATGAGTTTTGCATTGGTGGGAGTGGGATTCACGGCATGGCAGAAACACCCTTCCCTGGCTTTCGCACCCCACCGCCACCGCCACCGTCATCTGAAGGAAAGCAGCGGCAACAACAGCTACGAGGGGAAACGGCCCTGACTCTCATTCTACAAGTCTTCCCTGTCATTTATCTCATGCCGTGTATGTACCATCCCGTCCTCCCATGTGCGACCCTTGTGTGAAAAATTCGATTCCCCACACAGACGATGAGCGCCGTGGAGAAGGAGCTGCTGTTGAGACGGGTGTCCAAGTACGCCGGACTGGCGGAGGAGGTAGGGGACAGGGGAGAGCGGGCTCGCCCGCCGCCGCCGTAGTTGTTGTTGTTGTTGTTGTTTTTGCTTCGAGGTTGTCCCTCTTCGGGGGAATGTTTCGTGTACAGCACGACTCTTGTCGAGAAGATGACGACGATGGTCACACACACACACACACGTGCAAGTGCAGCCCTTCTTTGCGCTATGAAGTGGCGGCATGCTTATTGGTGTGTAAGCCTTTACGCTTGCGCGTTTTAGCGTTTTTCCTTCGACGTGAGGTGTTTTGTGCTCGGCGGCGAAGAAGTCTTGTGCGCCGCGTTCGCACGCGTACCAGAACCTCACAACATGAACCTGTTGTTTGGTGCGAACGAGCGGTCGGTTGTTTGTCCGTTTCGCCTTGTTGCGATGGAGGCGTTTTTCTTTCTTTTTTTGGTTGTTTCCCGTCTCGTGACTGCAAGCAACACTGAAGACAAGAACCGTGGAACAATATTGATTTAGTATGCTTGGTGCACCAAGAAGATGGCAAGTGCTGATGAACGGATGCTGCTGCTGCTGCTGTTGCTGTTGTTGTTGTTGTTGTTGTTGTTGGGGATGGTGCTGGCTGAGAAGGAGCGTGCGAAGGACGCAGACCGAAGCGTGCAGCGGCTGGAGCAGCGAGAGGCCATGGCGGACAAGGCGGAAGAAGTCACCAAGATGGCCGTCACGGTCTTCGCCTGCACACAGGCGAGTTGTAGAATAGAGATGAAATAGAGTTTTTTTCACACAGCCAGCACAGCCGCCGGGGTTCTCTTCCAGTGAGACAAACACGGCATGCGTAGAAGTGTTGCCAGCTTGTTGTACTGCTATCGCGTGTTTCGTGTTGAAAGGAAGTAAACCACGCTCTGGTTGTGCCGAACTGGTCTCGTTTGCCGCTCGCTCGCTGCGAAAGCGGCCGAGGGGCCTTTGCTAAAGAGGGACCAGCTAAAGCCTCTCCACGCTCCCCATCTCGTACTTGGCATGTTAAAGTTTACCGTTACCCGCCCGTGTGCGGTGTTTTCCAACGGCCTCCCTTACTTTCCCCCCCCCCGTCCCATCCCGTCCCATCCCGTCCTCGTTCCTCGCCTGCCCCGCGTGCCCGACTGCCTGGCAACGCAACGCACAGTGCAAGACCAGACGCAGCCGGTTCAACAAGCACTGCAAGGACCTCGGGCACGACCAGAAGGGCGTCAAGGCCACGCTCCGCTTCTTCGAGTGCACCAACTGCCGGAAGCGCTGCTCGAGCACCGAGCGCGTGCCGCGGACCGGGTGCGAGAGCTGCGGCAGGCACGACATGTGGAAGCGGTGCGGCGCCCGGCCCGGCCGAGGGCCCGCCGAAGGCCCGCGGGACAAGCGGTTTGTGGCCGCCTTGTCGGAGGTGGGTGTCGCGAGTTGGTCAGGTGTTGGTCGTCGTGAGCTTTATTGTAGCCGGGGTCTGCAGCTGTTTGTGGCGGTGATGTTGGCTGGCTGGCTGGCTGTGGCCCGAGATGTTGAGTCGCGCCATCCCTTTTTTTGGGCAATATCTCCCCAGTTGTGTAAATAATAATCTTCGCGCATTCAAGTTGGACGTTGTTGCTGATGTTCTTTGCCACCGAAAATCCTGTCGTATATTTTCTTTTGGCCTAGGATCATTTGATGAAAGTATTGGATTTTAGGATGAGGCCTCCAGCTCTGAGGCCGGCGGTCACATGTAGATCACTGCCGGCGACGGCGCGGGTGACGGGTTCGCCCTCGTACTCGGCATCTCTCAAATTTTCTATCGTACTCGGTGTTCGCTCGTGTTCGAGGTTGGGAGAAAAACAATGAGCGGCTGTATGCATATATCAACATGTTATTTGTCAGGGCCGACGCCTACATTCCTCCATTTTTCGTGACGAATTTGGATTCGTCTGTAGCCCAATTATACGGCCTGTCTGTGTGGATTTGTGGCTACACTCGATGTCAAGAGTCGGCGCTCCTGCTGGATGAAACGATGACACGGTGCCCCCCCTCCCCCCCCCCCCCCCCCCCCCCCCCCCCCCCCCCCCCCCCCCCCCCCCCCCCCCCCCCCCCCCCCCCCCCCCCCCCCCCCCCCCCCCCCCCCCNCCCCCCCCCCCCCCCCCCACGGTGTTGGGGAGCATGCTTCACGGCAAGCCCATCAACACGAGAACGACCCCCGGCACAACCGTCTGCCTGTCTCACTGCCGCCCACCCTGCTCCCTCCCTCCCTCCCTGCTCCCCCTCGACGCGCTGCTGTGCGCCCCAACGATGTGACGAACGTGACACAGTGGACGGACCAAAGGGACCTCAGCCTCGCGGCGCCGGATTGTCGATGACGCTTTCTACTACGTTCTTTGGCTTCTGTGTTCTTGGCCGTTTTGCTTTTTCTGTTCTAAAAGGCGTTCTGCTTTGCCAGAGAGGTGGTGAGAGACTGGAGAGGAGATAGGGAGAGGGACAGAGAGAGGGGCGGGGCTAATAGAGAAAGGTCGGGTACATCCCGAATTCATGTGCACCTGACAACAACAATTCAGTCTTTGTCGTTATCGCCGGTTGTCCAGCAAGCGTTGTCATAAGACTCGTTGAGAAATCAGAGGCTCGTTCCTCTCACGTGTGGATGCCAGGTACTGTAATCTGAAACAGAAGGATCCATGCGGACGCATCCAACGTGTAGGAAGAACCGACTAGTTCCGAATATCAGGGTCACGGAAAACCACGGCGGGATTCACGGATTCTCCACACGTGCCACTTGCTGGCCAAGCAGTCGGACCAATACAATACTACCGTGGCACCTCCTCGCCCACTCTCATTCTCTGGACCCTCTCTCCTTGCCCAAGTAAGGGTGGGTGTGTTTCTATTTCTTACTTTCAGTTTTGGCCACGCAGTATTAACACGTTAACGAGGAAAGCGTTGTCTGCCCGCTGTAGCGGGTAAAAGCGACTACGACCTTGGCGTCACTCTGCCATTCGCCTACGGAAGGAGCCTAAGTCATCACACCCCCCAAAGATGCGGTGCCCCAGAACGTCTCCGCTGTGAAAAGCGGCGAATTAATATCGGGTGCCGAGGATCACAGGCAGCATCGGCCTTTGCTCTTGTTCTGTGTGGAGGGTGATTTCTCTCTCGCTCGCTCGCTGCCGCTATGTTGAGAAAACTTGACGACGGCAAACAGAGAAGCACGCAATCGACGAAGAATTCAAAACATGTGCGCCACACCGGCCTCTCGAAATATCACCCCCGGCATCGTCCTCCGAGTTGATATTTCCCCAAATGCAAACTGGGGTTTGTGACGCGGCCAAGAAAACGACCTTGTTATGGGACAGAAAAATCCAGTCGCAGAAGACTTACACCATACCGTTTTTTTCGTATATGTTTGACAGAAATCCGACAAAAACTGATACAGATTTTCTCTACGCTCACGAAACCCAGAGAGGCCGTTCGTTCCCTCTTGGCGGTGACCTCGCGTGACCGTGACCAAACTGACACACACGTTTTGTAGCACCAGTCTTGTGCGGGTCGTCTCGTCGAGTTGACGGAATGGCGGCAGGTTCAGCGCAACGCGACGACTGTAAAATCAAGCCATTTGGGAGCCCCAATGCAAGTCAACCAAGTGAAAACGAAAATAAGCAACCAATCTCACGCGAAGAGGGACCCTCCCACTGATTATACTACACCCAAGTGATTCGCCCAGCTTGCAAAAGACCGCACTAAATTACACGGGATACCCACCTTCGCACAGAGAACCGGAGATCCACGATGATGATGCTAATAGTGGGCAAACCAGCGTCAGGGAACACCAAAACGACTGACCACGAAAATGTGATGGGGGATGATTTCGAAAACTCGTGAGGAGCGTCGCGACCGAAAGACGAGACAACCGCCCCGAAAACAAGTCACCATGTGCCAACAATACAGTACAACGAAAACTACCCTTGGCTTCCCTGCACTGTCGAAAAACGGATTCATTTTTCGAATTATTGTCTAATGACGCCGTTCGTCCCAGAAAAAAAAAAAACAAGCACAAACGATAAAAAAATTGATAAAATATGGTGATGACCACCGGACCGCGAAAACACGCAGCTACATGAACACATCGGGAGAAGCACAAGAAGCAAATACGCCATGCCGAAAAATACCCCTCAAAGCACGAAGAAACGACTAGTCTATCTACCGACCGAGGTTACTCTTGTGTGATGATGAAAAATGAAAATACACGTCGTATGCGCCGACGCATAACATTGGAAAACTGGCGTGGCGCCACCGGACGAACCAACCACTAATGTAGAGGAAATACACTCTACAAAGGCTACACACGCAAGGGATTTAAATGTCGGGATAATAACGTTTCGTGGGTAATCGTAATAATGCGCTCGCCGAGAGACGCGAACTGGCAAAAAAATAACACAAAACAAACGTACCTCACGAAAAAATGCAGGAGCCGCAAAAAAAGAAACACAAACAAAAACGATTTGCTGACCAAACAAGCGCGCGTTTACCCAAAATACAATCAAACCTACGACACCTTGCCCCCTGAAAAAAAAATGCATTTTTCTTGAGACCGAACGTCCGTGTCGACCGAATCCTCGCCACTACCAACAACCACAGGAGGACGTATGATCAAAACGTCATCGTCATCACTAGGCTGGCGACGATGAAAAGTTTCGCATTCGCGAGGAAAGGGTCACTCCCACAATGCGAAATCAAGCAGCGGTGGTATTAGTTGAAGCATCTGCTGTTGTTGTTCCAGTTTTTTTTCACGATTGAAATACCAACGCAGGAGACGTACTGCAACGGCGGACTGCCGTTGCTGTGCAACCACACTCACTCGACTAACAAGAATCGCAACCAACCGCAGTATGGTTAGACTTCAGATGGTTGAACAGATAGACCCCTCGCTGACTTCACACCAGACCAGGAGAAATGCATCAATTTGTTTCGCAAACGTTTAATCTTGGCCGTCTCAAACGGCTTGCAGTCTATTCACTTCCTAAACTTTCGGGGGCACAGTGAAAACGCACACAAGGCGAGAGATGAAACCGACGATCGCCTTACGACATACGACACGACCACGGTGCCCCCCCCCCCCCCCC